TTAGTCCTTCCTGTGCCTGCTGATGGGTCGAAAACATAGGAAAAGAATATAGTTTGCTGCATGCTGGAAGTTGCAGTCAACTTCATTCAGTCACAAAATTTATTACGGAAACAGGAGCAGTCATAAAGTTAAAGATAATAAAATGATTTAAAAGCTTCCTAGATGCTTTACCTGCTATCAGCTATCATTCACAAAGTAGCATCTGATATTTCAGGTGGGGGTGGATCTAAAATGATAAAAATCCCCATTGCCCTTATTGTTAATCCTATCACATATATTAAATTACCAATCATTGCACTTATAGGTAATTTTCCATTTAAAAGAGTAGGCTACAATTTCCATAGTCTTATTTTATTAAGACTTTACAAAAAAGAACAATTCTTCTAGAGGTTATACATATCAAACTAGTTCCACTTAAAAAAAAATTCTCAGTGTTAAAGAACTATGATTTCTATACAAATACAGATCCATATATTAAAGCTAAGTATATATTAAATATGGTGCTATATTAATGACTAAAGCAATCTAAAAATTTAAATGTGTTTATGTCTTATAGACATTTAAGCTAAAAATCTTCTAGTGCTATGGGAAACTGGTAAGAGGACGCTCACCTTAACTGCCTGGTTACCAGTAGCTCACAGAGCTCACCTCAAAGTCATTAAATATCAACAGAGGAAGGGAGAAAATGCTATTCAGCGAGACTTAGCTCTTCCCAATTACTCATAGTATGTCTCCCAGATGTTCCTGGCCCCTGTGAGTATGTAACTCTCTGAATTCTGGGGCAACCATTAAAAAACAAAACAAGGCCAAGGCAGGATGATAGCTTGAGGCCAGAAGTTGGAGGCCAGCCTGAGGAAAAGTGAGACCCAGTTTCCACAAAAAATGGAAAAATCAGCTGGGCATGGTGGTGTGCGCCTATAGTCCCAGCTAGTCAGGAGGCTGAGGCAGGAGAATCATCTGAGCCCAGGGGTTTGAGGTTGCAGTGAGCTACGATGATATCGCTGCACTCTAGCCAGGGCAACAGAGTGAGATTCTGACTCAAAACAAAACAAAATTTAAAAAGTATACGAAAAAACACACAAAACTGATCATTTCCAAACACTTCAAGTTTTGGGTGTTAACTAAGTTTAAGAGTAAATTTGTGTTTGAGAGATTTTTAACAATTTATAACAATATATAAGTGAATATAAAACATATATGAATATGTATACATTCAAGTTAAAGGTATGAGTATTTAACAGTTTTTAGCTAAAACAATTTTGAAGTACACCATAGTCCATTACAATTGTAATCTCCTTATATAAAATGTATACATTTAAGGGAGAAAATGTTTGCAAACCATACATCTGATAAGGGGTTAATACCCAAATATATAAAGAACTTAAAACAACTCAATAGGTAGAAAACAAATATCTCAATTAAAAATGGGCCAAGGACTATAGTTTCTCAACATTTCTCAAAAGAAGACATACAAATGACCAACAGGTATATAAAAAGTGCTCAACATTACTAATCATCAGGGAAATGTAAATTAAAATCACAATCAAGATATCAACTCATTAAAAAGCTTCTGCACAGCCAAAGAAACTGTCACAAGAGCAAACAGACAACCTACAGAATGGGAGAAAATTTTTGCATGCTACAAATCCGATA